AAAAAAAAAAAAAAAAGTCTTAAAGTTTACAAATTATAAGCGAAAATAAAAAATACAAAAGACTCTTACTTTTAAAATTGCTATTTGTAAACAATCTGTTAAAAAGTTGTTAAAAGAATGTTATTTTGTATTGATTGTATGGTCAGTTGTATAGCTAAAGGAAGAAATTTGATTAAACTTTATATTTTGGTCAACAATTAACAAAGGCTTTGAGCAAAATATAAAATCGCAAAGTAACATTTAGAAATTGTTATTAATTAAAACAATAAAAAGAATTAACATTTTATCAGTGTTATACAGTTCTTACCAAACGTAACATTGCAGCATCAGCTTTAGTTACTTTTGGTCGAGCAGCATGTTTTAAGGCGACAACAGGTTCACCGTTATAAGACAGAAACAAGTGATTTTCGCTATCTGCTATGCCGGTTTCAAATGTTACACAATTTGATGGAACACTTCCAACACTTAGTTTTGATGATGAATCTCTTGAACCATTTCTCTGGAAAGCTGTTTTTTATTCTATCAAAATTCGGCTGCTACTGCTTTTTTTTGGAACAGTTCTTCTGAGATCAAAAAATATATAAAGCAGTAATGTTTACCTTAGCAGCCGGTTTTACAAGATCAACATAACTGATCTGCCACATTTCATCCAGTCGATGCTGCTCCCTTATTTTTGATCTAGAATTATCAACAATTTAACTTTACAAGTGCAGTTAAGAAATATACAAATTTTTTTTTTTTTTTTTTTAATAAAACAAGTGTTTTTTCTCGGGAGTTCTCGGGAGTTACTTTATTAAATAGTAAAATAAAAAATTAGTTTATATTTTTAAAATTTTTTTAGATCTTTCATTTGTAACATTATTTTAGAAAATTTAGGTGTTAAATGGTGACTTAAAAGTTTACGAAGTAAACTGTAGCAGAGCACTGGTTTACCAACAAACTACTAACCAGTAAACTTGGATTTATAGCTTTATTCTGAATGCTACCGCAGATTTTTGTTGTAAAATTTGACAACTGTTTCTTTTTTGCTTTTGCAAACCCAAGCTGTTTGATTTTTACTGTACAAAATTTTTTTTCTTTACACAAGAAATTTTTGTTGCTAAGTCAAGATTCGCTTCTGTGTGACTGTCTTCACAAAAAAAAAAATTTTTTTTTTTGCTTTATTCAAAACAGAACAGTCTGACCAAACGAAGAATAAATTTTGAATGATAAAACTGTAAGTGACTAACCTTATTACATAAGTCATCGATAAGAGAAGCATAACCATAATAACAAAAGCAAATGAGGCACCAACAATAATATAGGTACCATAAAGTCGCATAAAGCTTTGTGGACAATCGAGGCCATCAAAACCACATTCTGGAATTGCTAATGGACGTTGATCGCCCCAACTTGTCCACATTTTATCAAAGTTATCGTTGGGAAGCCATTCCTATAATCAAAGATCTTCAAGGTGGCATTCTACAAATAGTCTACATGTTTATTTCAGCAGTTTAAAAAAAATATTGCGAAAAGATTTATAACTCATTTTTGACTAACAGGAAACTTAGATTTATTAAGCAGATAAATTCGTAATAGTAGAAATAACGTTCAATTATCAACCGCCTAAAGTTCAAGCAACTGTTCTAGTTATTAAAGTAAGCTATAATTTGATTGATTAACCAGAGATTTTACCATTTTTAGTAATTTTGAATACATATAACAATTAAACGCAAGAATAACTGAAATTTAAAAGATTTGTTCGAAATTTACTGTTTTATATTTTTTCTCTTTTTAACAAATAAAACTGTTCAGAAAACATCACTAACAACAGCAGTATTGTTCAAATGTATTTGAACAAAACAAGTTATTTCTAAGGTGATATCTAATCCATAGATGCAAAATGTCGCTTCACGTTCACCAAATTCATCAATGGTAAAATTTGATGAAAATCCTGAAACTTTTTTTCTGCATTAAGAATAAAATTATAGGTGGATAAAAATGTTTGCTTATTCGTGCTGTGTTTATTGTTACAGAAAAATTTGTTGCTGCATAAAAAGTATACGATAAAAAAACATAACTAAAAAAGTACAGTTGCTGTAAGTAAAACTAATGTATTAACAGTTCACGCAAAAAGAATAAAATACTGACTAATTAAATTTAAGAATCAAAACTTCAAGTTTCAACGAAAATAACAGAACTGTATAAGCCAAGTAATAGTAATCTGTTCAAAGCATGTTTAAAAATTTAATAAAATAACAAAATAAATTGTTCTTAGAGATCATTTTTTTGATATTCACTCAAAGGAAACCTTAGTAACTTCTTATTTTTTTAGTGCAATGGTAAACGTTGACAGATTTGACAATATAAAAAGTGAACACTGATTAGTCACCCTCATAGCTGCCTTTAGCAGCGGCCATAATTGCTTTACCATCAGATGAAACCTGTCCGGTTCCTCTAGAAAGTTCATGTAATGCTGTTCCGTAGACATACATAGCATCAGCCAAATAAACTGCTTTTGAAGCAACCTGAAAAAAAAAAAAGAAAGACCAATGTTTAAAATAGGCCATTCTGTGTAGCAATTAATCTCTTTTTTCTCTTTACTAAAACTCCTCGTTACTGTTGAAATAGAATGATAAAAAAGTGTTAACTGTAAAACAAAATGTTTTTTTATAAAGTGGTAAAATTTTTTTTTATTATTTTCAATACTAAAATTAAAATTTACGTATACCTCTTTGTAATTGGCACATTCAGTTGTACAATAAAATGGTGCTTCCTTCATTTTTGACAACAATTTTTTGTCAAAATTTTCACGATCGCTTCGAACCGCCGAAATATCTGCCTAAATAATACTTATACATAAAAATATAAAAAAAGTGTTTGAACAGTATTATAATTTATTCATAAATTTTAATATTTTTTTGTATACTACAATTTAAAACTGTAAAATTGCTAAAAAGTTTGTCACACAGAAGTATATCAAACGTGCTAAGGCCATATGCAATAACTGTAATTCTTTATAAACCTCACCAAATTTTATCGATGTACTGTAAACAGAACCAATGACAAAAAAGAAAAAAAAGATTTTTGGTAGAAGTTGTGAAGCAAAATTTTATTTGACAAATTTGCAAATCTAATTTTAGACCAGCAAATTGTCAAAAAAAATCTACAAGTAGCATTTGTATTATCGGTTTTTTCTTTCTTCTCTTGGGGGAAGGGGAAAGGGGAGGAAGAGTGAGGGTAGTGAAGGTAAATTGCTTACGACAAGAACATGAGAGCAAGCCATTTTAATGTCGTCGTCTAAACCGTCCGGATTCTTCGATGTATCAACCCAGAATGGTGGTGTACCTAAAGGCCAAAACAAAGATTACTGCGACGACGCTGGCGGCAGTAACCATAGCTCTATCAACATTGTAATCTGATTGTGCTGAATTCATCAAACCGCTAACCGAATCCATTATTTGATGTTTCAATGTACAAATAGACATATTCACTAGATGTCATATTGTTCGAAACAACATTTTTTAACACTGCACGCCGTTCCTCGTTCGTCTCCAAACACAAAACCACAACTGTAATATACGGTACAAATTTGAAAACTTAAATTACTATATTATACTATAAAGTAAAAATACAATATAGTTTAAAAGAGGACCAAAATAGAAGACTACATGTATTAACGTCAATGTTAATTTGATAATAAAACGCATTGAATGTTACATCAAAATGAAGTCTTATTTTGTAATGCTTTAAAACCATAATATAAAACTTCAAATTAACAGTATTACTTGACGCTGCAGACAGTGTTTATTTCAGCATTGAAGAAGCATTAAAATTTGATCAAAAAAATACCAATTAAACTGTGAAAAAAGTTTTAAAATGTAGAATACAGGAGCTGTACGATAAA